TATTTATATTATATTATATATTATAATTATTTATAATAATTGACCATGGATTTCGAAACCTTAAAGCATACATGATGTTCGTGCTTCAAGTCTTTTTTCAAAATTTAACACTTATAATCATTCATTTCGAACATCTCAATCAAACATAAATTAAGAATATATTACATGATGATTGCAAAAAAATTACTGGAATTGAAAATTTATATTTTTTGTATAAAAATGTATATTATATGTTTTTTCATACTTTTTTAGTTTGTGTTAAAGTAAGATGTGTAACTGAAATAACGCCCATTAATCACAGTGTTATTCCTAATAAAAAACTAAGATAAAAAGTCCTCTATCATTTTGCAATTTTCGCATTATTTTTTTTAATTGAACCCAATGAATAAAATGTCTAAAATCGATGCATAAGATAGCTTTGAAATGTTTTTAGAGTTCTTTAAGAAAAGTTCTTTAAGAAAAATCTTCAAAATATTTTATAAAGAACATGAAAAGATATCTTAAAATTGTCTTATATATCGATTTTATCTATTTATTCGGCAATATTTAGAAATTAATATCTCGTGAACTATTGCGAAAATTGCAAAATGATACAGGACTTTTCGACTCAGTTTTTTATTAGGAATAATATTGTATGATTAGTGGGCATTATTTCAGTTATACCCTGTATAACATATCGGACTTAATTACTATACAACATATATACGCTACAATTCTCGCGATTGTGAATGCAATCTTCCTATGTTAAATCATTTTGCAAATTAATCACACGTAACGACTCCTAGGAAAAGGGATCTTAATTCATATCGCTGTCATGGAGACACATGTCTGTTGATTCTTAGATCTCAAGGATTTAAGATCTTTAAGAGGCGAAAGTGAGTCTTGCGATTCTTCCTTTGCCGATCATGTCCGCTTTTCATTTCCCTTTTTTCTCCTTTTTCCTAACCATCTTCGCTGTTTATGCCAGTGTAAGAATGTTAATACTTCGTTCGTATGAAAATATCTTCGCTATTCCTTTCTCTCCGCCGTCAGGCGATTCTAACGATCCGTAAGTATCTGCATAATTAATGTTATAGAGAAATATAAATTGCTTGGACAGCGCTCGCTTGCGCTGCAATTTGTCGAAATAGTCGTTACCCTCCCCCCCCCCCCCCCCCCCTCCCTTTTCCCTCAAACCTCGACGTTCGCGGTTATAATAAGCGCTACTATCGGGTTTCGAAAATTACTTCTCCGCAGGGAGGTTTATTTGTTATATGTTATATTCTTCTATGTTCCTTTCCGCATGTCAATGCGGATTACCCAATACGCTAGTGACTGGAAACCCCTGATTTTATGTACCTGACGCGATTATGGTGCGCAACAAATTGGAGACTTCTTCTATCATTTAAATGAGATTTTATATAAGGTAATTTCGATAGACTCTTAAGAGACGGCCGAACGCAATCGGGCAAAACATCGCGCACGAACGTATCAAGTGCTGTCTCTAAAGCCCATAACTTTCGGAACGTGGTTTTGTTCGTGATTTCACGTAGCTCTCACTCACGCTGCAGGTTTTGTGTTATATGAAACAAGAGTAGTTATAACACAGTTTGTTTAAAATTACTTTGGATATTGTATTACGAAATTGAAACCAGCAACAACATGCTGTACCAGCGAACCTGAAAAAATCAAATCGTACAGCTCACCTTAAGACTTGATTAAAAATAATGTCTAAAAATAAGTTTTCAAATATTTATGCATATGTAGATATCTGTTGTTTATTATTATAAATAAAAGTTATATGTGTATTTTACTTAAATAATTCTCAGAAACGAAACGAACTTTTCATAGAAAGCGTATAGAATTTATCTACAAATCAAACTCCATGCGTTTACTAATTTATTCGTTCCAACTTTATTTTTGCAATATTATGTCATCACATTTTATTTTTCACATACATAAAAATTATCTCAATAAATTTACGATTTCTATAAATAATAATAAATGTATTTTTCATACAAAATTGTCTCACAAGTTAGTAATATCTTTGTAAATTGAAGTATTATCGTTTTTGTATAACAATAATAATTATCAAAATGTTACATGGTTTATATTTCACTGATTCGAATATAAAAATAGCAATATGATATAGAACATTTTGTTTTATTTATATATACGTAAATAAGAAATTAAAACGCGAACAATTTTTAGCAATTACGGAATCTCATGCACGCATCACATATTAATAGAATATTTTGTTGTCTTAAGCAGATTAATTAGAAATGAAAGCAAAGTGTAGTGATTTTCCAGAATTTCGCAAGCGTATCATCATGAATGTCAGTAGAAACGCCTAACAACTAGTCAGACGACAACGATCGAGGATAAAAGAGAAAAAGAAAAAGAGAATCGAATGCAACATGGTAGTGATTTTAGCTTCAATTAAAGCTTCAGACAATTAAATTGAAGATTCAGAACTCAAATCGAAAACTTGTGTAACGTTTTACCGTGCATTTCCCTGAAACGAGTAACGAAAGCAGAAAACAGGATTTGGATTTTAATCGCTGGTCATGTTATATATTTTCGTAAGAAATTCGCGCAGAATTACATACAAGAGTAATTATAATTATTATTACA